TTAATCGTATTATAAAAACATGGAAGACCATTAAATATTTATTCCAGTTTAATTTTATTACAGGTAAAAGTCAGATGAAATTTTAGTGTTTACTTATACAACACTATTTAATAAATAAAAATATTTTCACAGTAAAATTTATGAGCACTAAATGAAAAAACCCAATTTTCCCCGGGTTTTTTCAAATAAAACCCAATTTTCCCCGGGTTTTTTCAATAAAACCCAGGCGGGTTGGGTTTTTTCAAAAATCCCCGGGTTTTTTCAAACCCTGAAATTAATATGTAAAAGCATGTGAAAAGAGTAAAAAAAAAATAAAGAGAGAGAGAAAAAACATATTATTATTAGTAAATAAAAAAGAAATACTAAATTGAAATTTGTTAATAAACGTATGGTGAGCCACAATGGCTCGGGGATAGAGCGTTCGCCTTCCAATGAGGCGAACCGGGTTCGAATCCCAGTAGATACGAATTCCGCATCCGGCTTGCACCGACCACAGTGCTGGCGCGAAATATCCTCAGTGCTGGACAACGGATCATGGGTTAGAGTCCCCTTGCCGTCAGGCTAACCGTAGGAGGTTCTCGTGGTCTTCCTCTCAATGTAACGCAAATGCGTGTTAGATACATCAAAAAGTCCCCCACGATGGCAAATTTCTCCCAATACGCAATCCAGGAGTTCCCTTGTCTTCTAGATTGGGTTCAAAATTACAAGGCTACGGAGTCGAACATTAGTAGTCGTAAACCCATAAAATTGGGTTGGCTGTTCAACAACGGTTATAAAATATAGAAAATAAAATAAATGCATGGTTTTTATGCTAGTATTATACTCACTCATGCATATACGACAGTAGGATGTGTTTTCTTCAGAAATTTCCTTCATGCTTTGAATTTTGTGTGAGAATAAATTTCAGACCACTTTTTTTTTTCATTTTTGCATGATTTAAGTATTTTGTGTAATTTTTTTTTTAATTTTTTTTAATTAATATCATATCTATGTAAAAATTAATTCCAAACCAAAATTAAGTAAGCGCAATGTTGAGAAAAACGGTTGATGGGATAATATAAGTCCTGTAAATACCATTACATATAATTTAGAATGAGCTTATAAAATATGACAGACATGATGAAGTTTAACATTTATATTGAGGTACAAGAAAGGTCACTTAAATAAATGAATGCATCTGACAATTTTATTTTAAAAAAAGAATATGAATATGAGGTGAACATTTTAGCTATACAGAGGTTAACAACAAAGAATAATTAGAGCTGCGAACAAACAAGTCATGGCAAAAGTGTTATTAATCGACATTAAATACAAATAGAAAGAAAGAATACAAGTAAGCAAAACATGACAATTTCATTTGTTTTCAGATTAGTGGTTACCTTTCACACCGATCGTGATAGTAAGTCGGTGCGATGTTCTTCCCGAACTGACTAAACATATCGCCAAATTGGGAGAACGCGGATCTCATTTTAAGTTTCCAGGTTCTAGCTGGAAACATTGGATTGAAAGCGCTAAAATCAGAAGGCATAGTAGAACGGGTTTGTTGATTTAAATTGCAAATACGTGCACGACTTTAACCTATCAATTTAAGCATATGTTTAGTTTGCTTAGAATCAAAACAAAATCATCAATATCAAAAAATCGATTCCTTCGGTTACTATAGAAACAGTTTTACAGCTATTGCCAGTTTTGAGGTTACTAATAGTTTTATTTCAATGAAACGCATTTGTGTAAACTCAAACTCTCATACAAAACTTTTGCATGAGCAGTGAGAAAGTGCCTGATTCATGGAACCGCTTTCGATGGAAAATAAGAGTCTTTTAGCGGGAAATATATCCTTGGATGAAAAATTTACCAATCACAGTTTCTCCTCTTCTCTCGATGGCACTCAGAGAAGCGCAATAAATCAAGAGCCATCTAAAGCAGTTTCGGGAATGCAAGCAAGAACATCTCCGAATTCACAAGCGCGAATTTTTCGCTTGCAGTGTGAATAGTCTCATATTCACCCGTCAAAAATTCGCCAATCGAATTCCTGTTCCATTCAGCTCTTTTCCCAGTTGATCACTGCAGTTGACTTCATGAAGTCAAACATCACAGGCTGCAGTCAATAAGAGGGTAAGTGACTTCCTTAATCAGCCTGTGGAGGGACGTAGGGTGTACTGTATCTGTCCTGGTTAAAAAGTTCTATAATAAAGTGCTTGATTTTACACTCAGGTCGTTGGAATATCAAAGGGGAAGAACCATTCCCTCTGCAGAGGATCAATAATGCCATGGTATATGTCTTTGGATCATCCTCAGAAATATTTTCGTGACCAGTGCCAATGACGCATTGCGCAGCTCCAGTGCGACGTAGAGTACTACTTCATTAAATGGGATTTTCAGTTTTACTAAGTTGTTATCTTCGTCCTCGATCTGTCCCGCAGTGGACTGATCGTTAAGACACGGTTCCCAGGATCACTGGCTGCGATCAGTGTGCGGGTGATTGACCACTTGTATCAGTCTACGCAGGGACCGAGGGTGTGCGGTATTGGTCCTCGTTAAACTGTTCTACCGAAAAGTGCTCGACTTCGCGTGCAGGTCGTCGGGCTACCCAAGTGGGGGTGCCATCCCCTCTGCAGAGGATCAAAATTGCGATGGCTTGTCTTCGTATCATCCTCAGGGATGTTTCCCAGACCGTCGCCAATATCCCATTGTGCAGCTCAAGTGTGACGTAAATGAACTACAACAACAACTGCCCTCGATTCTGATTGGATTAAGAGGCCATTTTCCCTGCATACCAATGAGAACCAACCTGATTGGTGAAATAGTTTCACTAGTAAAAAATTTGCCAATCAAGTTTTTATTAGTACGTAAATTTCTCGCCTAACCGTGAGACCCTTTGACCACAGGACAATAATAAATCATGAGTGCACTTAATTACCATATTTTTAATTTGATTTTTGTCGAAAAGAACCAGCCTACTTGCTACGTTCGCCAACCATGAGTAAAGTTTTCTATCTCTGACAACAGACATTACATTAGAAATAATTTAAAACCTGCCGACACTATTCTCGATGAATGAGCATTCCAAGAAGAGTTGTGACATAGCGAGTAGCGGATAAAAGGGTTAATGTGTCTCCGAGAGCAGCTTTAAAAAGGCGACAAACTTAACTCAACTTAAACTCAACTCAAACATTTCGTATTCAGTAACAAACGCACATTAAATCACATTAAATAACAAACGCACATTAAATTACAAACCGACATTATATAACAAACTCACATTAAATAACAAACCCACATTATATAACAAATGCATATATATGTTATAACTTCGACAAGTGTCACTTGTTTCATTTTTTTACTACCTTAGCTTTTCAATTTTTTAAGAAACCTAGAATTAATTAAAATTTTAACGAGATTTCTTACAATGTTATAATTTTAATTGGTGATTGATGTTGTTGTAGTTCATTTAAGTCGCACTAGAGCTGCACAATGGGCTATTGGCGACGGTCTTAATTGGCGATCGAAATCGGTTGCAGGTGGCGTAGAGCAGAACCTATGGCAACACTTCACATGCTTTCCCCTCTAGCGTGTGGAGAATCATGAAAACTACATTAAACATAGTCCTAAAGAAAAGTATCACGGAAATTTTAAAAAATATCTTTATTAAATAAAAAGGAAAAATATTAAGAAAAGGGAAAATATCGTAGTACATTCCTATACAACTGAAAAGAGGAGGAGAGGGGTGGAAGAAGGGCCAAAGGCATGAAACCGGTCTCTTCCCAGATGGCGTATTCGAGCGTTGCGATCGCCAATTGTTTTCATGGTTTTTAAAATTATTTTTTACATGCTGTTGGATGTTTAACCAAATTTTATGAAATTATCAATTTTTATTTCACGCAGTCTAAAATTAAAATGTTTTTGAAAGGAGAGACATTTTAAATCTCGCATCATATTGCAAAGGGAAATAAAAACCCGGTTCTGTAGACCTAGCTCCGCCCAAAATTAAGTCGGATTCGATTCGCGATCGCAAAGCACGAAAATGGCATCTGGGGAGAAGACCGGTTCCATGTCTTGACCCTCTTCTCTTCTCTCTCTTCTCCGTTGTATAGAAATGTATTACAATATTTCCCCTTTTCTTAATATATAAGATATTTTCCCCTTGCTTTCCTATCCGATATTTTCCACGGTGTTAATTGACAATTTTTTTTATTTTCCACGACACTTCATTGTTGTTCATTTACGTCGCACTAGAACTGCACAATAGGCTATTGGCGACGGTCTGGGAGACATCCCTGAGGATGATCCGAAGACATGCCATCACAATTTTGATCCTATGCGGAGGGGATGGCACCCCCGCTTCGGTAGCCCGACGACCTGCACGCGAAGTCGAGCACTTTACGGTAGAACAGTTTAACGAGGACCAATACTGCACACCCTCGGTCCCTACGCAGGCTGATCCAACTGGTCACCCACCCGCACACTGACAGCAACCAGTGATGGTTGATTTCGGTGATCTGCTGGTAACCGTGTCTTAACGATCAGTCCACTGCGGGACAATTTCCAAGACACACTTTCTCCTGAACTGAAAGAAGCAATAAACCTGTGATTTTCGGGTAATAAGCCATTCATTTTGGAAAATTTTAAATTAATCTGTTAAAGAATTGCTAATATTTAGGGTAAATTTTTGTTAATTTCAAATATATTTCTTCTTTGTTTCTAGTTAAACAGCTTCTGGTGGGCCATTTATTTTTCTACAATACAGTTCCGCATTATTCTTCCTCCAGATTTCTATTTAGAGTTTTTTCTTATTTTCCTTTATAACCTTGGTTTTCCTCTTTTCCTATAACTTCAATTTCATGATTTTGTTAGGCATGTCTGTTTCCTCCAACCTATCCTATTGTTTAACTTTTCTAATATTTTTAGCTTCATTTTATTCTTTTGGCTTTTTTTATGATGTTTTCCCTTTTAATTAATTTTTCTGTTTCTTGGTTGTATCTTTTCCTCCGTGTTACTATTTTCATTAAAAGCTCCATAAGTTCTTCTAATTTTTCTACATTCGAAATTTCTTAGCATCTCTGTTGGATAATACCCAGGTTTCAGATCCATAAGTTACTATTAGCCTTTTTACGTCTGTGTTATCCATTTTCTTGTTATTAATTAACTTTTAAGTAACCTATCCGCAATTAATGAATAATTTAGTAAAATTTTATAATCTATTATACGCAATCTATATGCAAATACGGATTTATTTCTATTTTGCATCTGCTTATTTATGCAGTTATGAATTTCCCATTTATTGTTTATTTCGTTTCTAAGATAAGAAAAGGTACTTGTACCCTTAAAAATTGTATCATAAATTTTTGATCTTGTATTTGTCTTCTCTCCCTTGTCCCCATTTTCAGGCTCAATCTTTTAATGGCCATGGGAAGAACGCCACGTAATTTTGACCCTGGACAAACGACGTGGAAGGAGCCTAAACTGGTACCCTTCTCTCCAAACTTCCACACAACAACCTATGAGACTTAACGTGCATCTTGCTGCGTACATACGCCGGTTCTTTTGTCAGCCACTAGTATCAATCTAACTACACAGAGTTCTCCAACCAGCTATATGATCGATACCTTAACCGATTGCACCATCAAACCAGTAATTGCTTCATACATTTTTCCTGTTAATACTGTCCAATGCTTGCTCATGGGTAAAAATTAAAGAGGTGATAGAAAACGATGTAACACTAGGATGTACCTCCAAACAGATAGAGGATGTACTAAACTAATTTGACGTTAATTAAACGAGCGATGTGTGGGTCTTAGCTAGTAATTCTTTTTGGATTATCATAAAGGATTAATTCCAAATCGTCGTTTATAGCACGTAAGTGTAGCTCTAGTGCGACGTTAACAACCAAATAGAACAAATACAAGAATTTGAGTTAAAAGAAGATATGTCAGTTTTATAAAAGAAAAGAATACTCAGATTGAAGCAGTAATAAAAAACATTGACACTAGAAAACGTCGCACTTCAATATGACTAACATACAACAAGAAATAATATAGAATTCCTACATACTGATTGAAGTAAAAGTATGTTTATTAAGTGTACGTGAATTCAAAACAGTGGACAAAATGTCACGTATCTTGATCAAAGTTTGAACTTTGCACAGCTCCTTACAGCTACATTTTTCAAACTCACAACTTAAACAAAATTTTTCTCAAATGATTTCACATTTTAATTTACCTTATTTATTATAAAAACACATATAATTAACTTTATCACATAGTTTTTCTAGTTAAAAATGTTCTTTTCCACTTTTTTGAAGAAATTTTAAAGATACCAACATATTTTTACATTTTTTAAAAAATTCTACATATTTCTGCAGCTAATTACATATATAACAAAAATTAGTTGTTTTTAAGAAAAGGTTTCCTTAAAGCTCAATTTTATTATGTATCTCTAAAGAATTTTCCTTTTTTTTTACAGTTCACTATAAGGATAATAAAGGGCCTTTTTGAGAATTTTTATTTGTTTAAGTGAAAAATTTCGAAATTTCCTTATTTTCTCCACCACAAGAAAAGTGTAAAATCTTGACATTCATTTTATACAACTTAAGGGCCAAATGATAGGAGATTTTTCATTCAATTCAGGATATGAACCTTTTAAATGATTTGATTTTTGAAAAAGCGAAAAATCATTCAGCCAAACACCAATTAAAAAACACAAACAGAAAAACTCGTTTTTTTTTTTTCCTTTGTGCAGGATAGCAAATTGATTATGTCCCAAAATAAGCTTGTGACCTACAGTTAAAGGAGTAATCAATAAATATTCCTTTAAATTTATTATCAGTGCTTTTTTATTTAAAAAAAAGATTAGGAGGATAAGGTTGGCAAAATTGCATTATGTTAATAAGTTCTGTTAGTATAATGGAAAAAATTTAATATAAAACTTCAATAAAAATTTATTTACATTTGATTTGTACAATGCTGTATAAAAATTTTAATCCCATAATTTCATTGTTCCATCCCACCCAGCTGATATGACTTTTGATGTTTCATGTGGATGCCAGATGACGGTGCTGCAAACATTATCATGCGCTTTGAACTTGCTGAAGAGTTTTGTAGTTTTCCAGTCCCAAATATAGACCTTGCCATCAGCATCACCCGACACAATATAACTGCAAAGGAAATATACTTATTAGTACACAATAAATTGAGTAAAAAATCCTTAAATATATAAAAAAATAAGTAGCATTTTAAACATGTGAAATAAAACTACTTCAGAATTATATACATATATAAACAGGGACCTCATTAAATATAATAAATGGAAATTTTTAGAATTTTTTAGTCTTGACTTAGGTTTAATCAATACCAAATATGCAACATCTAAATTGTAAAAGTATTTTCATTTGAGGAATTAATTATAACCCTAATAACATGACTAGGGTTGTTAGGGGAGGGCTTAGGGAGTTGCTTAGAATTTGATCCAGAGGATGGGGNCAGTCCCAACACCTACAAGTTTAAAGATGGAGGACTGAAAAAGATATTTAAAGAAATGAAATTTGAGTCCACTATAACCGAGTTTCCAAGTTCTAAGCTGTTCACTATAAACGTTAAAAATAACATTATTTAAATAGGAATACGGACGGGACCGCTAAAAAAGTTCACTACATCCGAGTGTTCACTATATGCCAGGTTCACTATAGCGGGGTTCGACTGTATAACAAAAATTAGTTGTTTTTAAGAAAAGGTTTCTTTAAAGCTCAATTTTATTATGAATCTCTAAAGAATTTTTTTTTACAGTTCACTATAAGGATAATTAAGGGCCTTTTTCAGAATTTTTATTTGTTTAAGTGAAAAATTTCGAAATTTCCTTACTTTCTCCACCACAAGAAAAGTGTAAAATCTTGACATTCATTTTATACAACTTAAGGGCCAAATGATAAGAGATTTTTCATTCAATTCAGGATATGAACCTTTTAAATGATTTGATGTTTGAAAAAGCGAAAAATCGTTCAGCCAAACACAGTATTCACATTATAAAACACAAACAAAAAAAACCGTTTTTTTTTTTTTTTTTTTTTTTTTTTTTTNTTTTTTTTTTTTTTTTTTGTGCAGGATAGCAAATTGATTATGCTCCAAAATAAGCTTGTGACCTGCAAAATTGCATTATGTTAATAAGTTCTGTTAGTTTAATGGAAAAAACTTAATATAAAACTTCAATAAAAATTTATTTACATTTTATTTGTACAATGCTGTATAAAAATTTTAATCCCATAATTTCATTGTTCCGTCCCACCCAGCTGATATGACTTTTGATGTTTCATGTGGATGCCAGATGACGGTGCTACAAACATTATCATGTGCTTTGAACTTGCTGAAGAGTTTTGTAGTTTTCCAGTCCCAAATATAGACCTTGCCATCAGCATCACCAGACACAATATAACTACAAAGGAAATATACTTATTAGCATACAATAAATTGAGTAAAAAACCTTTAAATAAATAAAAAAATAAGTAGCATTTTAAACATGTGTGTCAGGGTCACGTGATGTAATAACACGCATTTTCTGATGTTGCGAGCTAAAAGCTTGATATTATAGATATGATCATTTTTTTTTGTTTTGGTTTTTGGACGATGGATGAAAAAGAATAAGAAAATGGTGAATTAGTTTTTGTAGAATTTTGTGTTATTTCTTTTGTAAAAGGTTACGACTGACAATGTGAAATGAAACTACTTCAGAATTATATATATATAAACAGGGACCTCATTAAATATAATAAATTATGGAAATTTTTAGAATTTTTCAACCTTGACTTAGGTTTAATCAATACCAAATGTGCAACATCTAAATTGTAAAAGTATTTTCATTTGAGGAATTAATTCTAACCCTAATAACATGACATTGTTATCTAGGGAGTTGCTTAGAATTTGATCCAGAGGATGGGGCTAATTTTTTGAATAATATCTCTGTTTATTGTAAAAATATGTGACATAACTACAGCTAGCACTTGGCATACCATGGATATAGAAAATGTGCAATACTTTTTATTCTTATCCAATAATTTATACCAATAACTAGTACATACATAATTCTAATCCAATACATAGAGACTTTTCCTCTGATTGTGTTCTTGATACAGGAAAGGATAGTACTAACGTTTCAAATTTATATTTGTTTTCTTTTCAACTCTAACATTTTAAACCATATTCTAAAAATCAACCTGGTTCTAAAATTTAAGTGTCTGAACAAGGAATCAAAATTAAATAACATCAAAGACAAACGAGATTTCTGTTCTAAAAAAAAAATCGAAGATTGCTGGATTATTTAGAAATGGATGAAAATTCGATTATTAAAAAAAATTAATTAATTTTGTGAAATGCTTCTTTTTAAATAATTACAGATTAATAAGGTAAATAGCAAGTCATAGCACCAGCAGCACAGAAATATACATTTTGTTATTGAAGTTATTAAAAAATAGACAACATATTTTTTGATTTATTTGTATTAAAAATTTTACATTTATCCACTCATATTAACATTAGTTAAAGAAAACTAGTCATATGACACATGTTTTCCATAACGGATAATAGCAATTAAAATTCTTTTAAAGACACACTATTATTTTTGCAAAATAAATGACTTAGAATAACATAAATACGTTAAAAACAATTGTTGTAAATAGAAGTCATTCAAGAACAGGTTTAATTTTGCAATTAAACTAATATAGATTGTGGAAAAGAAGTATTAAAAAAAATTAAATATCAAAAATTAAGTATTTTATATTAATAAAAAATTTACCTCATATCAGGTGCAAAATCCAAACCACATGCATATCCAGCCACCTGAAGGAAAAAAAAATATTGAAGTTTATTATTGAAGTATATTAGACAGAGAAGTATTACTAAACAAGTATTTTTAATCAGCAGAAATCTAATGAATAACTGAAACTTTTAACTTTTCTATTAACATTTTCATTTATATTTTAGCAGCATTCTGATTTAGTAGAAATTCAGCAGAGGATAGTTAGAACCATGAGGATGAGGACTTGAAACATTGTCTCAAAATCCAAAGAACATTTTATGTTTTTAAAACTTATGTTAAAAACAACTTGTTTATAAATATCCAGATCAAGAAAATAAGTGTCCCTTTTATGGTAATAACAAGCCACTAGCTACCACTACTATTAATAAAAAACCATAATTTATTGAATAAAGAATAGAATTTCATATCATACTCTGAATGTGTTTTGCTTCGCTAGAAAAATTTGAATATGATACAGACATCAAATGCTATTTTAGCTTATATAATGCAGCATATATGCATTAAAATAGCCTGAGCACTATATTCATTATTACATAATATTAAATTAATAATTGTTTAGTTTTCTTTCATAAAAGCAAAAAGCTATTATGCTTCTTTTAATTCAAAAAAATATTTTGATTCTAAAAATTTGTCTTAACTCCTAGAAACTCTGCTTTTTTGTAGCCCTGCCCTTTGACAGAGAAGATTTAAGAATATTTTTTATATATAATAAATTTAATGAGTTAAATAAATAAAAACACCTTTCATAATAATATTAATTAGTAAATTATTTTGATTATTATACTCAGATAATTATTATGATATTAACTTAGATAAAACACACATAATAATAGCCTTATCCTTAAAAAAAATGATATACAGTGAATTCGCGTTAACTCGAATCTGATAGGACTGGCGAAAAACTTCGACGCATCGGAAGTTCGACTTACCGTTAGTTTCGGTTTTGGACTTTCAAAATATTGTAGGATTATTTAATTAATGCTTATTAATTACAAATCTTTTAATTGCTTACAATATTTAAGATCATTTTTCTGACAAGCCATTTACGATAAGACTGTTTGAAGCACTTTATGATACCCTGGTCCATCGGCTGCAACTTTGCTGTTGTGTTTGGCGGGAGAAACTGCAAGTTTACTGCTTTCAAATCAGGTAGATCACTACATGCTGTGCATTTATTCATAAAGAGTATCACTTTCTCTTTTTAGCGAAGAATTTCCGATCCAATTTTCTTACATAGTCTTCAAATAAAACTGATGTCATCCAAAACTTTTTGTTCGACTTGTAATCCAAAAGATACGTTTTTACATTCTTGAAACATCGGGGATTTAGTTTTTTTTCCCGATAACAAGTAAGGGCAATTTCTCTGTCCCAGATGCATTTCCTCCACCTAGGACAGTCAAACGTTCCTTGCTCATTTTACCCCCTGAGCAGTTTTCATCCTTAAACATCATAGTCTTATTTGGAAGACATTTAAAAAATAAACCCATTTCATCAATATTGAAAACATCATTTTTACTGTATCCTTGAAGTAAATTTGGTAACGTTTCATTTAACCACTGTTCACATACTTCAAATGGGACAGCTTTAGCTTCTCCATAAAGAGCGCGAAAGACATTGTGCGTGTGTTGCAAAGGAAGGTGCAAGATATCAGCTCCTAGGTTTTTTTTCTTGCTTTAAGAGATCCAAAAAAAATCGAGTTAAAGGGAGTAAAATTCGAGTAATCGAGAATAATTAACATGAAATTGAAGATAAAAGGGTCGGGGCCTCATAAAAAAATCGAGTTATAGTAATATTCAAGTTATCGTATTTCGAGTTATAGCGAATTGACTGCATTTTGTGCTTGAAATGGAGATAATGCAATTAATGAGTTTTAGTTACAGTAAACCTGATTGAAAAATTATTATTTGGTATTTCTTACCATATGGCCAGTAAATGTTTTCTTTCTGTTTAATTTGAATCTGTTCAGAGCAGAAAAAACCATTATTTTGTTATCCATGGACTGACAAGCAAGCCATTTTCCTAAAAAATGCAATAATATTTTGTTATGTCAATGGCTAGGTTTATAAAAGTATGATGAGTGATATTTGTGCATATAAAAAAATATCTTTCAAGATAAAACAAAAACTGAATAATTTAATACATGTTTTATTTATTTTTAGAGCATTATTTGCAGCAGTATATTGCGAGCTAATTTTAGGTTAGTGTAATTTAACATTAATTTTTGTATAACCTTAATAGATAATAACAAAATAATTTGTTGAGATGTTACAGTAAGGAGTCTTTGACTGTTTATTTTCTTTTAGCATTAATATGCATTGGACACAGAGCAATTTCGTTCAAAATAAGAGATTAACTGCAGAGCAATAATTTTGTATTCTTGTATAAACAACTGAAGTTTATTTAAAAATAATGAAAGATTTCACTCTTCTAAAAGAGATAATATTGTAATTAGACGCTTATAATGTACCTATAATGCTCATAAAAAATACAACTCTTTTGAAATTTGATTTCTTCGGAACTATTAGACCAATTCTGCGCAAATTTTGTATTTTGCTATGTGAAATTACATACAATAAAATGATGCAAAAAATACCTTGTAATTCAAAAGTTTTCTGACTATTATTAAATAAAATAATAAATATTGACCAAAAGTTATGTTTTGCATGGATTTTTGGATAAACAAATTTTATAGTTGGGTGTAAAAATTTTTAAATTCGCTTAAAATGTTTTCGGGATATGGTGAATATGCAAAAAGTAAAAATTAACAATAGGGGTTGAACTTTAACTCTCTTCTGACCAAACAACTGGGACCATAATTTCAACATTGCTGCTACCCTCTATACTTTGGGGGTAAAAAATCCAAATTTGCCAACAAAATAAAAGTACATTTATGTGCAGAGAAAGTAAGTTAAGTGTCCGACTTTGTAATTTTAAATATTTCTTGCAATAATTATTTCGCGTATCTGAGGCAACCTCCTCGAACTATGAAGATTAGAGTCCCAGAACGAGAAGTAAATAAAAAGTTATTCAAGGGGGTCGGATTTTTTTTTTATTTGCGCACTATACAACACAAACTCTAACCATTCAAGGTGTAATTTCAAATATTATATTGCTCAATAATATTAAATGTTGCGCAATAAATTGAGAAATTAGAAAAAAAGTATTCAGGAAAACTTCTATTTTTTCTTCAAAAATTAATACAATTAAGAGCTGCCATAAGACAAAAGTAAAAATCTAAAATTATTTGAAGATAAGGAAAAAGGTTACGTAACAGGGGCTTGATAAAATTGATAAGGAATCAATACTAATAAACAATGCATATTGATAAATTTTTAAAACTGCCTTTAATAGCTTGTGAGTCGTGGTTCTAAAAATGTGCTAAATATCTAATAATGTAACAAAAAAAAAAACATGTTAATATCTAGTGAAAATTACACGGCACATGAAAAATCAATGGTACAAGAGGCATCAATGGGTTAATTTTCAATTTTTTAACCTTTTATAGCAAATCATTTAATCTGAAGACTTAATGAAGTAAACAAGTATGTCATCAACTTGAACTTTTTTTTTTTTACTCAGTTTTTAGATTTCTGCAGCTTTAAAAGAGCAATGAATTTCAACAATTAAAGTTAAAAAAATACTATGCTAAATTTTAACCCTGTAGCTGCATTCCTGCAGTCTTTAAAGTGGCCCATACAATATTTTTTCTGACAAGTTTAACAGTTAATAATTCCAGAACTAATTGTGAAATGTTCATTTTTTTACTCCCTCTTAATTACAGTACAGTCTATACACCTTAGTAATTTGAAATTTCGAAGTCTTACAGTTCTTGCACAGTTAAGCAAAATGCACTGTTGGGCGATTCCACGAAAAGTGGTCCTGAGTGACTAAATTTTCAAAATTATCGTAAAATCAAAAATGACACAATTTCGGAATCTAGAAGATGTACATTTTTTAATAGTTAAGATAGTTTTTTGAATTACAAAAAATATTTATGTGAATTCTNAAAAAAAAAAACATGTTAATATCTAGTAAAAATTACACGGCACATGAAAAATCTATGGTACAAGAGGCATCAATGGGTTAATTTTCAATTTTTCAACCTTTTATAGCAAATCATTTAATCTGAAGACTCAATGAAGTAAACAAGTATGTCATCAACTTGAACTTTTTTGCTTTTTTTTTTACTCAGCTTTTAGATTTCTGTAGCTTTAAAAGAGCAATGAAGTTTAACAATTAAAGTTTAAAAAAATACTATGCTAAATTTTAACTCTGTAGCTGCATTCCTGCAGCCTTTAAAGTGGCCCATATAATATTTTTTCCGACAAGTTTAACAGTTAATAATTCCAGAACTAATTGTGAAATTTTCATTTTTTTTACTCCCTCTTAATTACAGTACACTCTATACACCTTAGTAATTTGAAATTTCGAAGTCTTACAGTTCTTGCACAGTTAAGCAAAATGCACTGCTCATAAAAGTGCTCTAAAAAAGGCGGCGGTGTCGCCAGCTTTTACAATTGTTTAACATAGAGATTTTATAAATATATATTTCTATGCAGTGTAATATTTATCATGAGGTAGGCATCTATTTTAAGTGTAGCAAATTTTTATTACAAGTGTTTCTTACTGAGAAAAAGATCTATTAAGCAAAAGATTAAAGAATTAAATACAAATTTGAGATGAAAAAAATTAGAATACTAGGAAATATGTAATACTTATTAATGGAATGACACAATTCTCTTCAAATCAGTTAAATACATACCATTAGGAGATAATGTGACAGCTGGCATAGAGTGCATTGTTGGATCAGCAATATATTTCATATCCACTGGAATATCCCATTCCCAAACTCTCAAACTTTTGTCGTCAGATGTTGAGACAAACCTTCTGTTCTCATCAACAAAAGTAATGGTGTTAACAGCACCTAAATGTCGATCGTATTCCTGGACTACTTCGTTAGAATTTATGTCCCACTACATAAAAATTAACAACAATGAGTAATCAGGAAATTTTAAACTATAGATTTTGAAGAAAAAGAAGTAAAAGTTTGATAAAACATTTTAATTGCCTTTCTTTTTATCCTTTATGATTCCTAAGGAATAAAAATGAAAAGCCTATTTAGTACTAACTAATTAAACTGTTTCAATAGAGGGCAAACACATCAAACTTATTAGGCATAAAATATATGTTTGACACAAACATATGCATAACATTACTTAAAGTACTATTTATTCATGTGAGAAACACTATTTTATGTTGGTTTCCTAACATAGTAAAGCAAAAACATTTTTTATTAAAATATACACAATTTTAATTTAAAATGTGTCAAAATAGCTTCCTTTTCACTAACTTATAACTAATTGATATGCAACAATTTATAACTGAAACATATTAAATTAGGTATAACAAATTTTTGATAGATAAATCTTTTTTGAAACAGAAGTATAAAATTAAAAACTATAAATAAAGTTCCACATATGAGTAGTTTACTTAAAAAATTTATTATTACCAATTTTTTTAAAAGATATATCACATTTTTATGCTATAAATTATATAAAAACACTAATTAACAAGTTGTACTAAGTGGTAAACTAATATTGCCATATTATTTATAGAAACTGTAAAGTTGAATAGCACCTACAGTAAAATCTTACAATGTATTGTTTAAAAAAATTGTATAGTTGGAAGCTACGCTTATCATTCAAGGAAAACAATAAGAGTAATCAGGCCAAAGAATATACATAGGGGAAGTCTAGCTTTCATAGGCATAACAGTTCCCCATGTTTTGGGGAGGTCCCCGTGTATAAAGGAAAAAACAACATTTAGGGCTACAACATTAGAGGTTCTTGAAATGGGTTTGCACCCTCCTCTCCTTCCAACTACTACTAGGGTTTGTTGAGGAAGAAATGCTTTCTCTTTTTGTTTATTGTTGGCACTTTTACACTATTAATAAACAATACTGTACTATTATTTAAGATAATTCTTTGATAATACGCTAAGATCATCTATGTTGATTAAATTCACTAACCGATTTTGATATAGAAAGATAGAATAAAATGGCGGTTTGTGGGAGACAGCGCACGCAACCATGCAGGTAGAGTTGTCCAACAACCGGTTCACAGGTAACGTACTTCCTGACCGTCACTTGAATTTAAAAAGCAATTATAGTTTTTAGAGTGATACATAGCAGCCGTTAAAAAATACAATGAAGTTAATAATCAGTACACTTAAAACAAATTGAAAACTTACACAAACAATTTTTTTATCAGATGTACCCGCAACAAAGAGATGTTGTTTATCATCATCTGGATTGAATTTGACACAATATGGAATTTTCCTATTAGAAAACTGTCCAAGACATTTTCCTGAAAAAGCAAATTAATCAATTAAATGAAACTAATAGTAATTTACAAATGTAAGTAAATTATCAATAATTCATATTATTTAAAAAAAAAAGAGAATAAAAACAAAATATATTTGCCTGTTTCTGTGTCCCACAATTTGACATATCTGTCATAACCGGCAGATAAAAACTGAGTTCCATTATTGTTGAAGCATATGTCACGAACTGCTTGCTTATGACCAAGGTAGGATCGAATACATCGTCTTTCATTATATACTTCAAATAACTAAAAATATTAAGAAAAGTTTAAAAGTTTTTGAGCACATCTCCTAAAAGCACATATTTTGTTTATAAATTTAAATCAAAACTTATCACTATTTATTTGATTACATTGTAGAGCTGCACAAAAAAAGTAAAAAAACAAAAATGCAGTGAATGATTTAAACCTACAATTAAATCAATAAAAAGATATTGAACATAGCAGCATTGAAAACATATTTATTGACTTCTCGGCAATCTTATAAATCAAAATTTAGAGTATTTCGATAAATAATAATCAGAACTTTTAGAATCAGTTCTTTTTATAACCATGCAAAATCTTGGTTAAACAACTATAAAATTCGCATTTCTTTAAAACTTTTTTATTATAATTTTTAAACAAATAATTTTTGATTTCCTTTTTTATCAAGTAAGCTTTGCTAATGACTTTAATCTATTTTTTGTGAATCATTTGCAGTAGTGCTATTTTTTCAAAAGAAAACCAGCAAACATCAAATAACATCGATTACTCATTATAGTAAATACAAACTTTATATAGTTACACATAATATAAAATTAAAAAACTATAATAATTTCCTAAAAAGTACTAAATATTTTGATTTATAAAACTTAAAAAACATATCGTAGAACTGACAGGACAAACAGGCAAAGAATTACTCAAAATACAACAAGTTTATAATAAATATTTAGCAGAAGAGTAAACTATCTTTACATTTTCCCTGTACAATCATAGAAAATTAACAGTAACAAAAAAACATTGAAGACACAAATTTAGTTAGTATGAAATATAATGAAGTGAATTGAAAACAATTCATAATTTATCTATAATTAAATTTCAAACAAGTTTGACAAATAAAAGAAAGACTATTTATGGGGTCTTAATATGAAATCCTTAAACAAGGAAATTCGATTGAGGATTAGAAATTAATAAGTATAAATTGATGTAAACAAAAACAAAATAGTATGTAAAAAATTATTATAAATTTTTTTAAAACTCAAAATCCTTTCTACTACCTGTTAAAATTCAGCTTGGAGTACTATATCATTCTTTCAATTCAATTTTGCTTTATTTTATGTTTTTCATTATTAAAGTAGTTAAAAAGTAAAATTAAGACTTTGTTTTACAAGTTAAAAGTTTATTAAGGAAATAGAAAATATGATCGAAAACTGCAAAGCAATATTTAAAATAAAAACGTACTTTAACTCTACAATCCATACTACATGATAATAATAAGTGAGCTGTCTTGGGAAAAAATTTGATAGTCGAAATTCCTTTTGAATGAGCAGTCCATGTATGTAGAAGCTTTTTTGGTATGAAACATTTTTCGGGTGGATCATCTGATTTGAGATTAACTCCAACATCTTGTGGTACATGCAAAAATGATCGTCCTTGATAATCATAGGCATCTTTAACTGTAAATAAATAATACTGAAATGAGAACAGAATAATAATAACAATAAATTGAATTAGATCCACTAAACTTAAACTCAGGGATGAAAGTATCAGTTAGCAAAAAAAAGCTGAATTCTACATAAACGCAATCAAACATTATGAAATTAATAAATGTATGGAGCTTAAAAAGCTTTGAAAAAAGCTGAATTCAGAGTAAAAGCTGAAAACTTTCATGCCTGTAAACTGAAGTTTTCTTTAAATAAATGAAATATATTAAATCAAACATATTTTTGTCTATATTAATTAGAAGAAAAAAGATTTTTAAAAGAAAGAAATAGTTAGGAATAAAGCAAAAAATATATTAAAATGTATTTGATCAAATACTAGAGTGATTCATTCATTAATGACATATTAGAATTATAAATAAAACTTTAATATTCTGAAGAATAAGAGTTAAATAGGTGTTTTTTTTTGTACTTGAATTACACTGCATTGTTTAGAGTTATTTACACTTTAGCTAATAGAATAACTATGGTGTTCTTATGGTAAGGCATTATCCTTTTGTAAGAGAAAATTACCTAGAATTAGTAACAACAGAGAAAAAAACTATCCAATGATGAAAGAAAACTTATAAGAAGGGAAAAGAAAGAAAGCCTTTAGAAATATAGATCATTAGGATTTTGATGTTTGCGCTATGAGCACTTCTTATGTAGAGATATTTAATTTCTACTTATAGTGCGGCAAGAATAAAAAATTTTTGGTAGGAAAAGCAGGTTGGCTCTGAATATATAAGTATTATCAGAAAAAAAATTACGAACTAATGAAAATTAGAGAAACGTTGTAACTGTAATAAACATTCACGATAAATGGTTTCAAGAAAAAGAACCCTTACTATGCAAAATGGATTTTTCCTCCATTGTTTTGTCTTCTGTAACTTTCCCACGTTTCTGGCGCTTTGCCAAGATCTCATCCAATTCTTCCTGCTCTTCCTACATATAAAATAAAGCGAAGTGAATAAGTTAGCAAGCAATTCAGTTCAACTAACCAGCATTATTTGTATTTGGGAACGTGAATGTTGTAAGTTGCGAGACACTAATTTTAAAAATTAAAATATTTTACTATAAATATTTTCATTTTTAATTTTTTTTAAAATTAGGAACATTTTAATTAAAACTACATAAATTTTAATAAAAACTACAGAAATTGTTTAGATTTTTAACCTTAACCTATGAAATAACACTAACAACATGCCAAAATTGAAAATTAGACTGATTTTACATATATCTTGCTTCAGAAATGACACCGATTCATGTGAAATATAATAATATTTAAGCTGTTTAATTTTAAGTTGTGGTTATTCTCATGAAATGTAAAACCTCTTCTTTAATCTTACGAAAATATCATAAAATTTCTTTTTTATAAATCAAAATTTCATTTTTTAAGAAAATTTTCATACTCTAAATAAAAACCTAAAGATTTCGAGAATCTAGAGGAAATGGCATTCAAATCAAGAAATTTCCCTAGAATAATAAGAATAAAAAAGCGTCTCCATCTGGAATTTCACTAACGGATAAAGCCAGGCATGGGAGTGGGAAAAAAACACCATGAAAAGTTTTAACAATATACAAATTTTACTTTCTGGAAATGTTTTGATAGAATTATCTTAACAGGAAAAAAAGTGTTATAATTTTGGCAGCTATTTCAAACCAAAAAAACTGTGTTCTGGAGAAGTATTAGGCTTAGAGAATTTTCTGCACTTCTGTTTTCAGTATTTTAAAATTTTAAGAATAAAAAACAATGCAGAAGTTAAGATTACTTCAGAAGGTTTAAGAACTCTTTTCTCATTAACATAACCACCCCATGGACCAAGGAATCCATCAATATCTGCGGCATCAGCATTTTTTACCCGTTTTCGTTTGTCACCTTCTCTTGCTTTCGTTTTATCAAAGACTGTAACTTCTATTGAAATAAAAATATCAAAATTAATTATACATTTACATATTATTGCACTGTAAAAATATGCACTCTCAAAATAATATACATTTTCCACAAATACAAGATTAGACAAGTAATCCATATATATAAACATGATAATTTATTTAAACTAAAATTTATTTTAAAACTTTCTAGGTTCAGATAAACTTATTAATTCATATGCATTTCATGAAAAAAGGGGGAAAAACGAGAGAGAAAACATTAAGAGCTTAAAACAGTTTTACCAACATAAAAAAACTATGACTAAAAGATAACATCATTTCATCTTATTTATAACATTAGCATCCTCAATGATTACGATATGTTATGGTAATATCATAAAAACATTGTGATCTGGTCAGGTCTTAATATGAATTGTTTAAAAAAATTATATTTTTAAAAAGATAAATATGAATTAGTTTTTAAATGCTTAGTTTAATATGTAATCTCATTTATTTGCAGTCATTTTCCAATTTTGATTAAAAAAAATATTTAAACTTTGTTAGAAAACACAAAATCTTAATATTGAGCAGAAAATATATAAAAAACAATTCAGCTATTTAGTATTTATTTATTAATTGAAGAAACAGTTCACTTGAGTAATAATATAAACAGATACAATCATTATTTTTTTTCTATTAAAATTATCTTTAAAGTACCAGTTCATATCCAAATAAACTAAAAGCAATCAAAATACTTGCAAAATAGGCACTCAAAATAGGTTTTTAAGAATGCATAGCCAAATTATTCAACAAAAAATAAGCACTTTTCAAGCACTTAAAAAATATTTTTAAGCATTTAAAAAAAACATCATAATTAGTCAGGGTTGCAAAGTTTTTGATAATTGACGTTCTTATTTTATTTTAACTGTCATGTCAAAAACAAACAAACCTTTTGGCATTGCTTTGGCAATTGTAAAAAATCATGAAATTTTAAATCGTGTAAAACGAATGGCGTTTTCATACACTGCGGACTGACAATATGCTGAAATAGATTTGGGTTGAATTAATTGTGAAAACGTTGAATAGAACAATGTGAACTGCGTCTTTTTGCATAACTCTTAGCAGAAATCAACATGGTAAAGGAAAAATGGGATTTTTAAAAAGGGAAAATTAAGCACTTTTTAAAAACACACAAAGAAAAAAGCACCTTTAAGGGCTTTTAAAAAACGAAAATTGAAAATAAGCACCTTTAAAAAACACTACGCACCCTGTTTTTACTATCTCAGTAAATTATTAATCAAAATAAACTAAAAGCAATCAAAATACTGGCTTCAAAATATGTTTTTACCAACTCTGAAAGTTCTCCTTCTGATGAAGGTGTATCATTGTGACACCAAAACATGCATAGGTTTTAATAAAAATTTTACTGTTTGTGATTTTTAACATTGTTTTTAATGAAATTTGAAAACTAGCAAAACTAAATTTATCACAAAGAATTACATTTTCAATTTTAATGAAATTGATTATTAAATTAGCTTTCAAAGCAGTTATTATTAAAACAATACATACTGTCATCAACACTTGTATCAGCTAAAGTTTTGTTACTTTCATTTGCAACAAGTTTATCCTTCGTAACTTCTGCGTTATTTAAACTTGGATCGATTGCATAACCTGAAATATATTTACAAAAATATTAAATTAAATTACATAAATTTTAACACCTAGTCGCTAGTAAATAAATGGTTTGTCATAATTATTGGCCAAATTATTAAAGATATGAGATACAAAAATATCAAAAATTCATTACAACAATTTCACATTTCACCCACTTACAATATACTTAGATCATGTTACTGTTTAATCACTGCAACTAATTTTTCAACCCTACAATGTAGAAAATGTTTTTCCCCACTTAAAACACAGATATCTCAGTAAATGTTTATGTTAAACTGAATGAAAAAGTCAAAATTTTATAGAATAACTAATGTAACATTTAACTTAAAGGAAATGTTATAATAAGTCTAACATATAAAATAAAAAAAGGAAGTATATTAGTCTGCACTGGAATGCTAATCAAGTAGACAGTAAATGAAATTTAACACATAATTATATATATTATAACAACATAAAAAAAAATCAAGAAGTTATAAAAAAAATTTTTATTTTAAATTTCTACAAACAAATAAAAAATGTTTCAATAACTGATAAGTTAGTGAGATGCTTGCATGGATTTTAGTTAAAAAAAAATATAATGTGTCTGAACCAAAAAAGTATCACTTTGTGTAATAAAATTATTTCAAATGATAATTTTATAATTTTTCTTCTTCATCCCATTAACAATAAAGCATCAAAAACTAACAAAATATAGCAACACTTATTTAACAATCTTTCACCATTTAAAAATAGTTTGCACTAAATCAAATTTTTTAACATAACATAAAGAAAATACTTTTGGCAATCATTTGACTCAATTGAACAATGATATTTTAAGATTTATATTCATCATAAAACAAGTGAAAAACTAAATTTTACCAAAGCTAGTAAACGTGCGACGCTGTGACTCAAAGTGAAAATCATTGATATGGGCTTCTTCTACAAAACCAGAAAGGGTATTCTTGTCAGCCTTTTGCTGCTGTGTTTTAAATGGATTCTCTGGTCCAGCCTGAAAGAAATCACAGGAGAGGTAAATAATTCCATAATATAACATTATTATTTTGACACACAAATTTGAGTAATTACTTCTTTCCCCTTAATTTAATCTTAAATTTATGTGATTTTTTTTAATCTTCTTGCAACAGTTACTTCTTCTACTCTCCACATGTTGTTCAAGATTCAATATCTGCAGCTATAATGATGAGGAATTTCGAATCATGTTTCATAAATGATCATTTTTGATCTGTTTAGCTTTTCTTAAAGTTTCTAGTTTTATATTTTAAATAATTTTAAACATCATCAGATGTATAATCATTTAGTAATTTATGGAATTAAGGTAGGCCTTTATTATAAAAGCAATTTCCTCGAATGTAAGAATTATGACTCTCACCATTTCTGATAATATAAATTGAAGTTTAATAATAATCTAAAATTAGGTTGAATACATATACATATGCATGTATATTTGTAAACAATAGTACAAATACTACACTTTCCTAATAAATTTTAATCTATCTACCTTTCGAAAAGCTTTTAAGTTTCAAATACTTTCTAACAACATCATTAATGTAAAATCATTTCGTAATTCATGGAATTACACTTTGATATAAATACCTTGCTACCTCCTTATAAAGATCTCTCTTGGCAACTTAGAAGGATTGCGACTCTTATGATTTTAGCTAAATAGTAAAAGTAAACCGTAAAAATGCAATTTGTGAAAAATTTATCATAAATAATAGACAAATATAATACAGTCAAACCGCTATAGTGAACCTTCAAGGGACCAAAATTTCGGTTCACTATAACCAGGAGTTCACTATATCCGTTACGCAGGCAATTTAACTAATGGTTCCCAAACTCCTCCCTTTTATTATACATTATTCAAATAAATGACTGAAAAATATTATCTAGCAGCAAAAAATGTGTTATTACCACGTTTATATAAACTTGCCTTCGTGTATGTCTGTCCGGGTGGAATTTTGTAATTGATTTTAAACTAACTTCCCGACTAGCTACAAACTTCAAATTTGGCACATAGTTCAGAATTGGATGACAATGCATAAAAATGAAGAGAAAGAAGACATACAAAGTAAAATAAAACTAAAATTTAAAAAAAAAAATATTTTCCAGATTGTCTTTTGTTGTCGATTCCATTATTTCAAATTAGTATTACATGTCAGGTGTAAAGATTTTTATTGTCGGAGTATTTTTATTAGCTGAAAAATCACGTGGTAGGATCCAGTTTTTCCTCATTCATTTCCAGATTGTTTTGGTTGTCATCAGCATAAAACTAATGAAAGTCGTAAAGGTATTGTTTTTCTGAATCCCTAATTTAAAATGAAAGTTTTATTATTTTAGTAGTGGTCTTGTAGTAGTCTTGACTACTCTTGAAATTAATCTAAATAAAAATATATGTTTTTAAAAACCACGTTTTCTGTAGTGAAGAATAATAATTGAAAAGTAATAGTTTTTAAAAAATATAAAATAAAAATTAAAAATTAAAGAAATTATAATTTAAAATAAAAAAAATTCAAAATAAAAAAATTCAAAATAAAAAATAATATTTTTAAAAACCACGTTTTTGTAGTGGAGAATAATAATTAAAAAAAANTTTTTAATGGAAGAAAATTAATTTCCGGTTCCGAATTTCATTCCGGTTGTCTGGTTTTCCGATTTCCGGATAAGAGGTTCTGCACTGTAAAAGCAATTTCCTGGAATGTAATAGTTATGACTCCCAACATTTCTGATAACATAAAATGAAGCTTAATAATAATCTAAAATTAGGCTGAATACATATACATATGCAAGTATATTTATAAACAATAGTACAAATACTACACTTTCCTAATAAATTTTAATCTTTCTACCTTTCGAAAAGCTTTTAAGTTTCAAATACTTTCTAACAACATCATTGATGTAAAATCATTCTGTAATTCATGGAATTACACTTTGATATCAACTTTTTTCTGCCATCTAAATTTTTTCATGAGCAGAAATTATTAATTGCCTATTTTTCCATATGTTACAAACTGCAGATTTGGATAGTTTATACTACCTGCAAATATCAGCTTGATTGCATCCATTTTCAATTTTTCTGATAATGCCCATTTTATCATCAATTGAGAATGTTTTACGTTTGCTGCTCGCCATAGTTAAATTTGAGACACTTGTTAGCAGGATTTTTTTTAACTGAACTGATTTTTTTTAACATTTTTAATCAAATAATTAAAAATAAAAGTTCCAATTATTTTTATGGACAAAAATTATGAAATAAAGCAGATAAATATCAAATACTTACAACAGGAGCATATAGTTCTTCAAATTTCGGGTTATAGGTCAATACACGATTTGTTGGATCAATGCATTTTACAGCATTAAATGATTCCTAGAGAATAACAATAAAAATGTAAGCAGAGATAGAATGTAAAAAATATAAATAATTTGCAAGATAAACACATTTTAAGCATTAAATGTTTTGGTTATTATTTATTGTGGAGACAAAAAACTTAAAAATAAAAAAATTATTTCCATAGATTCTAACTAAGCAAGATAACTATTGCTAGAGTATCCACTACTAAATGAAGCATCACAGGCATGGTGGATTTTTTACTTATCACGAATGGCTAAGTACAGTAGAGAACCGATTATCCGGAACGATCGGGACCATCGCTATTCCGGATAACTGATTTTTCTGGTTTTCTGAATCGCTACAAAAAACCGTTTTTTTTTATTGTTAAACCAAACTAAAAAAAAAAAATTTTGGAAATAATCTTAAAAAGAAGAAAAAACGATGAGTCAATACACTAATGATTATTTCCAAAATGATGGTAAGGTAAATATGTTTCAAAAAAGAAAGAAAAATCCTAAAATCTTATATGGAAAGATTTGTTTTTTTTTTTATTAAAATGGTGGGAAAATGTATCGAATTTCGTTCCTGTTTTTTGGTTTTCCGGTTTTCTGATTTCCGGATAACGGGTTCTCTACTGTATTAATATTTTCTACAAAACTAAGTTTAACGGTAAGGATAAGGGAAAAAAATAGATAGTTGGATTAATACATAATCTAGTAATAATGATTCCATTTAATAATATCTGGGGATGCTCAAATAAAATTGAATTATTTCTTTTCTTTTAATTCAGCATTTTTTTTAGGTCACTCACCAACATGTTCATAAATGTTCAATTTAAAAAAAATCCAGGCTTTTTTATCTTTATTCGAAATATTTAAAATTTTATTTAAATAATATGATGCATCTAAAATTTATTTTAATATCTTACATAAAAGTTAAATGCTAGGTAAATATTTAATACTTCATTTGTTGCAACAATTAAATTTTTTTTTTTTTTAAGAATGCTTCATATTTTATGCTACATAAGTCGCAATAAAAATGTTTAACAGAATAAATTTAAAAGAGGGCAAATTAAGCCTGACACAAATTATATTAATACAAAATTACACTTTGTTTTTCTTTAAAAGTTTCAAAATTTGTGTTTTTTTTCTTTTTCTTTATGCTAAAAAAAGGCAATCTTAATTTCTGCACATAACTCTACAATTTAGTAAAAAAAATTCCTAATTTAATTTTACTACACAACGCAATGCTCAAAATCATGCTAAAACTGCAAAATATGAGCAACTTTCTTCAAATTTTTATAGTTGGTGAAGTGTTCCTCTTTATTACAGGAGTCAAAAACGTCACCAAGTTGTCGATATTGGTAGCAACCAGGCAGAAACCAAATGTGAAACTAACACTTAACACATAAAATAAATTAAAAAAATAAGAGAATCAACTTAAAGGAGCATAACTTGCAGTTACTCCCAGGCAAACAACTCCATATTTAACATTTTCCGAGTACAAGAACCCTTTAGTATCTCATTGGTAGTTTGTTTAAACAGGTACCCCCAACAAAATATTCCAAGGAAGAGAGATGGCCCCTTTTATTTTTAATGATACCTTTGTAAACTAGGTCTAGGCCCTTAGGTTATATTCTATGTGGCCTCTAGTCAAAAAACTTTAAAAGACTAAATTTTACGTAAAAATTGCAAGCATATTATGCATAGAATATTTTCACCTAACACATGGATATTGCTTGATGGATATGTCATTTTAGCATCTTGGTTACTCATTAAAAAATTATAATTACTTCCAGAAGTTTTGTTGAATTCTTCTATTTTGTCCAGATTCAAACTCGAATTGAAATTGTTTGATTTCCAGTTAACTATCAGCTAATTAGGATTCCAATTTTTTTCAGTTCATATATTGTTTTAGACAATAGTTGCTTCAGTCATATCGTTTTAAGACTAAGTTAATATATTTTAATGAACAAAATACATTAAAATTCAGAATCAGGTGAATGTTAACAATAGAGTGCCTAGCCTATTTAGGCAATTTTTTTATGTCCTTTCAGAAAATAGGAGGACTGATTCACAAGAGACATTTTCTAATACCAAGAAATACGGATAAAAAAAATTAGAAAATTTAAAGATTTTAGTAACAGTAAAAGCATCAAGTTACAGTGCCCAATCCAAGGGGCACCTATTTTACACTCTTATAAAATTTTATAACAACTTACAAAACAAAATGAATGAACAGACTTTATAACACTTTTAGGAACAGAACATTAGATACCTTAACTTCTACAAGGGGTGCAGCATTAATTTGAAACTTGTCTTTTAATGCAACTATACTTTTTGAAAAATCAATGTTGTTCTCATTATCTAAGGCTTCATCAATCGATTGATCGCTATCACTACCATAACCTTTCAAAAGTGCAATAGACGCCATAATTAAAAACAATATTTTTCAAAACTATACATAACAATTATTTGAAACGGAAAAGTTGTTGGTAAACATAAATCGCATCTGATGCAATTTACAGTTAAGGTTCAAAGTTAAAGAAAAGTGGAGAAAAATAATGCAATTTACCGCAGTAAAATAGATGGCGCTCAAAAGTTACTGCTGTCATTTAGGAACCATTCCCACTGTCTAAAATTTTTCTTTGCATGCAAATCAAAAACAGCAGAATTCGCCTTCGGAACGCTTGAATACCCTCTCTAGCAGGGTGGATATTTTCAGGCAACTATTTATTAAGTTTTCATTTAGTTTTATCGGAATGATTGATGGAGTAGGATACTTTTTTTTCAGCAGCAAATACGAAGCAAAATTTGACTAAGGAAAAGGCAGAAAATGAAAAAACGACCCAGAACATTGGTAAATCATTCTGAAGCAAAACGAGCCCAACATATGAAGAACACTGTCCAAGGACGCCGGCAGCGGGGTGCAAGGGGGTGCACTTGCACCCCCCCTGGCTTTTTCTTAAAAAACAATTAAAGATATACAAAAAAGTTTTGTTATAAAACTTTTTTATTAAACATATTTTTATGGAAAAACAAATAATTAAGTAATTATTGATACATAACAATTAAAAAATTGCTTAATCAAACAAGAATTGCAATCGTCTCGTTTGCTGTTCAAATCTGTTTTTAACTTTTTCAATGAATTCTGAGTCATCTTTGATTCTTTTCTTGTGTACACTGAGCATTCACAAACTTGGCCGATATCTAAGCTATATTTTTAAATTTCATTTAATATATTTTAAATAATATTATATTTTCTATTAGTTATTCAGTTTAACAAAGGTGTATAACACAAGCTGACTTCTCGAGACTGTAAAACCTCATCAACACAATAAATACCAATGTTAAGCGTGCACAAACACGTTAGTATACGAAACTACTGTTTGTAGTTATTTGTGCTTCAAAGTCAGTAGCTATGCCAGCGCCAGCGCGATCGCCTCTGGGCAAAATTTGTAAGTACAAGAAATTCGTACTTTTTTTTAAGTATCTTGCTAACAATGAAGAAATGTATGTTGAAAAAATGAACAGATGAAAGTATATGTAATAACAAAACAAAATGTAATATCGGAATATTTGAATTTTTTTTCGGGGGAGGGTAGTTTGTTAGAGAGTTGCACCCCCTTTTATATTATTCTGCCGGCGCCCTTGACACTGTCTTAAATACTTTTCCCTTTCTATTAACAACAAACTTGCAATCGATAACTTCCTATTTTCATATTGTTTCATGTGTGTGTATTACTGTAAAAAATTTTTTTTTTGTCTTTAATTCATTATAAGTTAAAGTGAAGTCCACATTGCTTACTTCATTCCAATGAATAAATTTGATTTCAGAAGGTGCAGAACTGTAATAATTTTAGAATATTCTATTTCTTTATAGAATAATAAATACTTCTGTATCTATATAATTCAGAAGGTACAATAAAGAATTATCCGAGTTACTTGAAATAGTGTCATTTGCGTTGATTATTAATAAATTTTTAAATTTTTCTTGGTAAGTATTTTTTAATTTTGAATGATTATTCTCAACTAGAATTTATCTAGAATTCATTTTAAGTTACATATTGATATTCATATCGACATCTTACAATTATAAAATTTAGTTATATGGTATCTTCTTAAAGTATGGAAGGAATAATCTGTGTATATATTATTTAAAAATAAAATTTTCAAACGAAGAACATTTCCCTTTGGAATTCTTCTCTGGAATTGTTAAAGCAGGTAAGTGATATGATTTTCATAATAAAAAAATCTCTCCTAAGTAATTTTTTTTTCAATTTTATAATAGTTCTCTACACAATGTCTTTCTACGTCTAATTAAAAATTTTAAGACTAAAAAAAAAAAGAAAATATGAAACTTTTTTTATTTCAATATTAGGAATTTTTAGTATCTTTTTTTTAATCGTAAGAATTCCTTATTTTATGCTTTTTAGTTTAGAAATAATGATTTTTTATTGAAACTTTTAATAAGAGCTTTTGTCAAAAAAACTTGTTTTACAAAATTAAATGATATAACATTATAATGTTATATCATTTAATTTTGTAAAACACTTTTTGCATATTTTAATGTTTGAAGTAATACGATTCAGAAAAGTATGGAATGTAAAGTTTAAATAGATCCTTCATATTAGAAAATTAAGTTTAGTAGAGTGATTTCACAGGCATTAGGTTTTAACTCTAAGATAAGATACATATTTTTTTTCTGTTTATTTACAAATATTTTTCCGGTGTGTTTCGGATATTCCTTCTCGAAAGACAAGAGATTCCATCCCCCCCGCTTGCATAAGAAAGAATATAGAGCATTGTTTCTTTTTTAAATTTAATAAGTCACTATAAGAAAGGAACGTTGTGATGATCGTGATGTTCTGCTAGCAGTCATTCGTCTCATATAACAACACCCCCCCCCATGGGCTATTGCGTTCCAGAATTGTCCTTTAAATTGTCGCCTCCCCTTCTAATGTTGATGAATTTTATAACATTTCTAAGCATCTTGGTAGGGTGGTAATATATCATTTACTAAGTATGTTATTTATTTTTTTAACAGCTGCAAAGTTGAATGAAAAAGCAAAATAAACTTTAATTTTTCTCTGTTTTTGTTGCCCTAGATTAACTGTCAAAGTCAATTGTAATTATTTTGCCTAACTTTGGAAAAATACTTGCTTTCTAAAATGGCAACAACTGTCAGCGATTAATTCATTATGAGGATCTGGAGACAATAGTACTACGCACCTATCAGTGTTTGACGTATGTTGGGGGCTTATCATTATCTGACAAAT